TCCTTCTTTCGAGGTCACAATAAATAAACATCTATAAGAAAAATAATTTCTCCTTTAAAAATCAATAAAATAAATCTAAAATTAAAATTCTTCTTCTTTTTAAACCACCCTAAGTTCTCTCTCTACCTCTCCCTCTCTCTAATTGTATAATAATATTAATCGTTCAAATGAACCTATTTTTAAAACATAAATTAAATAATAATAACTTAATTTTCTGATTTAAAATAAATTAAAATTACAAAAATTACATTTTGTGGAACAACCCTAATCTATAACATTAGAAACCTTCATATGATCATTTGAAACAATACTTCTCAAGAAATTTCTTAAAAATCTAACAATATGAAAAAGTCCTAATTTTTTCAACTCCATATTTTGAAGAAAAATCCTCATTCCATGCATAAAATTATCTCATAATCATTCTCTATACATCTCCTAAAGAAAAGAGAAGTTTTTTTTGCCAAACCCTAACTTTTTCTTTTCAAGAAAAGTCATGAAATGTAAGAAATAACTTGATTAGAAACTCACCCTAGCCTCCTTGAATCTCCCTCTTCGATTTCCCCTAAGCCTGGCCATCGCAAACCGCTGCTGAAGCCTCCCCGTCGCCTTCTCTTCGTCTGCTCATTGGGTTTCGGCCGAACGAACCGTGCGGAAGAAGAATGAAGGGACCGAATAGAATTTGGTCCCTTAAAGCTTGAGTGGTTATGAAATTCCCAATTTACCAATATGCCCTCACTTAAATATCTCCGCTTAATACTTAATAGGGGTATTTTAGGTATACTCAAACTTCTATAATTTTTAACTTCCAAAATAAGCAAAATTCTCTATAAGTCCTTTATATCGCTTTGTTCGAAATTTTGCGTAAAATTTTATAAAATTATTTTTTATAAAATTATTAATTTTACTTAAATCTCTTTGCGGCACATCGAAAAGCGTGCGATGTCTAAAAATCGCATTTTCTAGTTTTACAATTCTCCTCTCCTAATAAAATTTCGTCCTCGAAATTTACATACAACTTCTAATTACAAAAAAATAAACATCTTCCATTTCATTTAATATAATCTTTAACATTGGAATATAACAAACTAAACATCTAATATATCATAACAAAAATAATCTGATCAACTCCAAGATATCTGACATAATATAACAAGATATACTACTAAATCCAAAACATCAGATTTAACATTACAAATCACTAAAAATAGTCAATAAAGCCATGTCAATTATCCTTGTCAACATCTATGAATTCATTGGGCTCCCACTGAGTCAAAGTGTAAAACTTCGGTCTAACATTCTGCCTGGATTGATTTTGCTCTGAACATGCAGCTAATGGTTTCGTCATCTTTTATTTGCTTAAGTTCCTCTGTGAAGGTGCTTCATTTGATCTCATTTCTCCTGAAGTCTTCATAACAAATGCATGACAATAATGTGCTATATGTCCAGGCTGATTACACCAATAGCAAGTGTTGGAACTAATAAGACATTCACCTTTATGTAATCTGTCACACTTAGCATAAGGTTCCGTGACTTTACTTACAGTTGCACCACTGACTCCACTAGGACTAAACTTGGGTTTCTTCCCATTTGATCCCTTAGTATGATTGCTTTGAATATCCTCTTCAAAACCTTTTCTTTTATGCTGATCACTTCTCTTCTGAGTAGCTTGCAAATCTGATTCAATCCTTCGGGCCCTCTCTAAATGACATCCTTCAAACTAGATAATAAATGATGTCATTTCTCTTCTGCATTGGATATCAGATATGAGACATATCTGAAAAGTCTAGTGAACTCGGCCTTATACTGAGTAATAGTTCTATCACCTTGTACCAATCTGCTGAATTTATCATGCATCTGTCTTCTACTTGACATGAGTACATACCAATCTCGGAATATTTTTAGAAACTCTCCCCATGAGACTTAACAACTGGGTCGCTTTCCAAAAGTCTCTTGTAGCTGGCTTCGCTATCATCTTTCTGCCTCACCATCAAAGGTAAAAGCAGCAAGAGTAACCCTTCTATCTTCAGACAGGACATACCCTCCAGAATCTTCTCTATCATCATCACTCAATCTTCTGCCTCTATTGGTTCACCACTTGAAAATATCGGAGGCTTCGTATCTTGGAACAACTTTAAATTTTTATCTATTAGAGAGCTTCCACTACTACCAACCTAGGTCTGAGTATTCTTAATCATTTGGGTCATTTCTGTCATCATTTGGGTAAAACATTCCATAGTAGCATTCATGCTACTACTCGAAGGCTTTGCTATAACTGGTATATCTATCCTAATTTCTCCCGTATTGAGATCAGTAGCATCATTTTCAGGATTCATGGTTCTGAGATATAACACGATGAAATAAAATTAGCAGTCTATAACACACATACCTTATACCTTCTCTGACCTATAAAATCATTCTATTGATTCTTTCATATTGATCAATATACTTAAACCCTTTGCTCTGATACCACTTTTATCATGACCCGGTCCGGTAAGCTCGCTTAAGCAAGGCGGGAACGGAGGTCGAACGGTAAACTAAACTATCCAATATCTAAATATATCATCTTAAAATTTGAAAGAGCCACTAAAAACATTAAAATTGAAAACGCATATACATAAAATCATTAAGATTCATACAATTACCTTTCTTCGGGCGCACCTCTCCTACGATATATGTTTCCACGCCTTTTACTCATTAAGATTTAAAATAATTATACCTTAAAATTTTTAACATCTAATAGTAAGTCAATGCTTAGTAATTAAAGTATGACTCTAAATTATAGTAATTCAATGTAAAATGAGTAATATGCTAGAAGTCACTTTTTATTTAAACTTATTATAAATTTTACTAGTACTATAAGGGAGTGAGCTCCATCATTTCAGCATGCACATGCAATCACTCAATATAACAATCATATCATATTCATTTCTATAACATATAAACTTTATGATATTATGCCATGAAGTATAATATATAAATCACATGATCAATCATAGGACAAGAATAACATAATCATGATCTAAAGTAACCATAAAATTTTTATAAACATATTTGAACTTTCAAAACATAAAATTGGAGAGAAACAAAGGTATCACTGTAATAAAGAACCATGAATACTCACATATTCGAGGGATTTGATTTTCACACTAGTTCTCCTTAAAAAATCTACAAAATAAATCTAAAATTAAAATTCTTCTTCTCTTTAAACCACCTTAAGTTCTCTCTCCCTCTCCCTCTCTCTAGTTGTATAATAATACTAATCACTCAAATAAGTCTATTTCTAAAACATAAATTAAATTAAAATAACTTAATTTTCGGATTTAAAATAAATTAAAATTACTAAAATTTTATTTTGTGGAAAAACCCTAATCTATAACATTAGAAACCTTTCTATGATCATTTGAAATATTAATTTTCAAGAAATTTTTTAAAAATCTAATAATATGAAAAAGCCCTAATTTTTTACTCTCCACATTTTGAAGAAAAAACCTCACTCCATACATAAAATTATCTCCTAATCATTCCCCATACATCTCCTAAAGAAAAGAGAAGTTTTTTTTCGCCATACCCTAACTTTTTCTTTTCAAGAAAAAATCATGAAACCTAAGAAATAACTTGATTAGAAACTAAAAAAAAAAAACTTGATTAGAAACTCACCCTAGCCTCCTTGAATCTCCCTCTTCGATTTCCCCTAAGCCCGGCCACCGGAAACCGCCGCCAAAGCCTCCTCGTCGCCTTCTCTCAGTCCGCTCATTGGGTTTCGGCTGAACGAACCGTGCGGAAGAAGAATGAAGGGACGGTCCCTTAAAGCTTGAGTGGTTCTGAAATTCCCAATTTATCAATATGCCCTCACTTAAAACATCTCTGCTTAATACTTAATAGGGGTATTTTAGGTATACTCAAACTTCCATAATTTTTAACTTCCAAAATAAGCAAAATTCATTATAAGTCCTTTATATTGTTTTGTTCGAAATTTTGCGTAGAATTTTATAAAATTATTTTCATTAAATTCCGACAACTTGAAAAATTCACTTAAATCTTGTCGCGGCGCATTTAAAAGCATGCAATGTCTAAAAATGACATTTTTTGGATTTTACACATAATAACTGGGCCATTTTTTCTAAGGAAACAGGATAGTCATTTGATTTCATGGGCAAAAGTATTATAAGATTTCAACGTAGAAGGTTTCTAATCATAGTCTCTTATGAAAAATTCACTCCATTTATGCTTATTGGGATGGAATTTGGGAGAGGGGATAATGGATATACCAACACACGAGAAAATGGGAACTGAGGGAATCAATCTTGCTAGCAACTTTCAAGTGATAATTTGAATTCTAACAATGCAAAGGGAATTCAAGAAACTTAACCCAGAAAGTGATTTTTGCAGACTAACCCTTTTTTTCATCCAATTTTCGAGAATAATTAATTTATTATTGATAAGTCAAAGTCCGCCATGCCATGCAGCCTCAAAATCCTCTTCTCGAGAAAATCGAAAGAGGAAAAAATCCTCAGATAAAGTATAGAATCATAGGAGCCGACGGTTGTATGGATCCATGGGAATTTAGGTGGCAATCCAATGGTCTTCAGGATTCAATTCATGCACTTTGAATTACTAAACTTGATTGGTTGTCCGGAAGGCTGATGATTTGGGAAGAGAATGTGTGGGGACCACAATAGAACCGAGGGCCGTTCCTGGACAGCAGAAGAAGGTGGTGGTGGCTGCAAATGAAACTTTTATTGATTTGTGCCCATTATTATGTGGATGAATTATTTAATTATTTGTTTCTCAATTTCATTATCGTTATGTGAAATTTTTTTGTCACATTTTAGCATACTAGCTGAGATCCTCAAATAGTAGGGATAAGACTAATGTTGATCAGGACGATGCATATTTTGCTGAGCTGAATGTTTTTATTTTTTTTTTTTTTTGGGTGCTTTTATTAACGAAATACGTACCTACTTATTTATCAGCGTTGTGCTTTGCATAATCTTTTGCAGGAACCCATGTTTATATTACCAGCCAACAAATGCCAAATAATTATGGTGAGAGGAACTCTCATGTAAATGATGTAGAGAGTGCTGGCCAAGGGTCTTTGCCCCAATATCTGAACATATTTAACCAGCCGTCCAGTACTGTAGTTCTTGGAGAGCAAGTAAATACTGGAGGTGTTGATCAGCAGGGGTCCGCTCCTGATTCTCATACAGAGCAAGCAATTACTGAGTTAGGTGTTGAATCAAATGAGGCGTCAGTATCTGTTAATGATCAGGGGGTGTTATTCTCTAGTTACCTTCGCCACCTAATGCCATTATTAATACAAGAACCCCCTATTTCACAAGATGTTTCGAATGTTGATTCAAATTCATTAACCTTAGATGTAAGTGGTCTTTTCGTAATTTCTTGTGAATATCATTGTTATGCAACATTGTCCAGGTTAATTAGCAAAAAATGATAAATTCTTACAGACTCAGAGGGCGGATTTGAATGATCCAAGCAGTTCCCAACATCAGAGAGATCCACCTGAACCACCAAGTCCAAAGCGCCATAAGGTATGCCTAAGCGATACTAGAATTTTTTCTCTCTTGTGTTAGAAAGATGGTTGTTTGCTTTTGTTTATGAGGGCTATCTGCAATATGTTGTTACAGTCAGCAACTTTGACATGGCTTGAAATTTTACCCATGACATTTGAGCATATACTGAATAATCTTTTAAAATATTCTCTCTTTTTTTTCCTTAAATATCCAATTTATTTACACTACAGGAGAAACTTTAATGTTAGTGTAGAACTGATTAACGGATGTGAAATTTTGTTTACTTCCTGTTTTTTGTTTTCCTTAGAATTTCTGGATCTTCATGCATATTTAGATCATAAAAACTACTGGAGTATGAGGATTTCCATTACCTGAGTGATTACTAGATAAACAGATTGCACCATCTCATGTATATAAATGTTACAGCAGAACGTATGATTACGGAGGCACCTTAACTTCATAAGTATATTTTTGATAACGTTATGGTGTCTACGAGAAAATAAACAGTTTTTATATTTTATCATCTTCATAAGTCACGAGCCGTCCCAACTGTCTCCCTAGCTTTTCATTCCAATTATGCGGGAGTCTTGACCCAAAATCAACATAAACTTTATGTAATAATATGATTGATTTGTGATGTAGGGTGAATGGTGTTCAGTAAAATTTAAAGTTTTTTTTTCCTAAACCCGTGCAGTTACAATGACGTTGAGATTTTACCTAATTCATATAATTTTTAGGGGATGTTCAAAATGTAGAGAAATTTATGGCAAATCAATCATCTAAGAATGATTTAGTGCATTCATAATGAAGTTTGGGGAAGAGCTCATCATTTTCTTTTATTTTGGTTTGCATTGGGTGGGGTGGTGTGGGGTGGGGGTGGAGGTGGGGTTGGGGTTGAATGGGGAGTAGTGTTAGGCATCCATCTTATGTGTTGTGGTGAGGCATCATTAACCAACTACTTTCAACAGGTAATCATTCTCCGGAGAAGTTGGTTATAGTTTATGTGTTATGCCTCCATCTTGTCTTTAATGGTGTCAATATCAAGCTAGTTGTTGCAAAACAATTATGAGAGGTGTATATTCTTTGTATCAATCCCGATGCTACCAATCTATGATGTACCGACACTTCTACTCAAAGAGTTGTGCAGTGTCCGACACGTATCTGACACGACATGCTTCCGACACCCCTTCGACACGTGTCAGACACGCTAGAAATGCATATGATTAAAAGAATATTAAAGACAAATTGGACACGTGTGTCCGACAAGTGTCTTAAGTATTTTTTGTGAATTTATTTAAATATAATTTCTTGTATTTAAAATATTTTTACTTAATTTATATAAAATAAATTTGTTATTTATTATCCGCAACACAAATCAATCTCCCGCACTCAATATCTCATTCATCGAATATTTTTATTTTCATTTCTCTTTGGCGGGGTTGTGATTTTGGTTTCATAATAATGCTAGATGTCATCTCAATATCGACGTCTGACATCATTACAACATTAACATTTCAAAACCTTCTCAACATCAAAGTCTGACGATGTATTGACATTGATTGCCTCGACCACTAGCAAATTTCTCCCATCACAATTTTGACAGCCATTTTGTCTGGCGGTGTCTTAACATCGACGAACAACGACATCTCAAACATCGTGACAGATATTCTCTTGACATTGATGCCGCGGATAAACTGCTGCATTGATCGATGCCCTACTTTTTTGATAGCATATATCTACCTCTCGGATGCCAATATATGCATTGACGCATGACTCTCAACATTCTAATTATTAATCATTTAAACACAAAATTCTGAGTTAAATTACTTATTATTTTAAATATATTATTCAATATTTATTAGGCGACAGGACGACTACCGAGACCGACCGAGTAGTGAGTCGTTAGATGTTTAGATTCATTTATATATCAGCTTGTACAAGATTTGGTTATAGTTTGTTCGAGCTTTATTGTTTGTCGTCATGTGTTTGCGATATCACTTAAATTTATGCATGTTACAGTTTGTCATGTTCTGTTCATTTAGTGCTAATATCAGAGCTTGTTCCGCGAACGAATTAACACTTTTTTCACTATCAAACAAACACTTCATGACGAACATATCTATGAAACACATATTTATAATAAAGCATTGTCTATGTACAACAAAGTCAATGATATTAATATATTAATTAATTTTATAGTAAATTATTAATTATTTTTATCGAGCTTTTATCGAGCTTAATGTCGAGCTTGTTCACGTACTTCAAATGATGTTGTTTGCGAACATAAATGAGTTGAACGCATTAGTGTTCAAGTTTGTTTATTTAAGAATCGAGTATTTAAAATATTGTTCAAGTTTGTTTGTTTAGTTAATTAAATGATCACAAACGAGCTTTAATCAAATCGAACAACGAGTAGCTCATCGAACGTTTGGTTCGCTTGCAGCCCTAATTATATTTATTCAATTTTTATACACTGTCATTGTCAGGTCACAAGTTTTGGATGAGAAAGGTGGAGGGTTGCGTTAGGTAGTCGACAGCTAGCATAAAAGTTGTCGAATAATATAAAAATTAAATAAATATAATATTAAAATAATTCTAGTTAAATGACTTATTATTTCTAAATTATTCTAATATTATTATTTATTCAATTTTTTATACACTTTTTATAATGTAAAAATTATAATACTATGTCCAACCCGTGTCTATGTTATATATTTTTAATAATTGATATCTCCATGTCATTTTCTTTATTAGATTTAAACGAGAATTTGACTTTTAATGAGACACAATGGAGAAAAAGGATTCATGTTGCCGACCCCATGTAGTGGGTCAAAGGCTTGGTGTTGTTGTTGAGGTCTCTGTGTCGTGTTGTATTTGAGTCGCCGTGTTTGTGTTTGTGCATCATAGCTACCAACCAAATGAATCAAGATGTATTATGTTTGCACGTTTATTTAAGGATAATGATATCCATTATGTTTCAAGAGTAGGGTTATGAACGATCCAAATTTGAGCTTGTTATGTTCAAATTCAGATTCGGCTTTAAGGATTGTATATTAAGGCTTAAAATCAGATCTTGGCTTGTTGTGTTTGATTTTGAGCTAGCTTAGATCGAAATTCGCTCGAGCTTAATCTAGCTCGAAATCGGATAGAGCTTGGCTTGAATGATGCTACTTGATCTAATCTGGTTTGAAGATCAGAATGAACTGGCTTGAGAATGTTCTTAGAGAAACCATAATATTCTTAATTCTTCTATGATCATAAACAAGATGAAACACAGATAGAGAAACCAATTCAATCTCGTTAATGTTCTTAGCAATTGGATAAAATAATTTTTGCTTATTTGTTTATTGGCAACTTTGTTGTAATGATTTTTCTTAAATGCTTGCTCATTTGTAATGTGGTGCTAATTTTTAGTTCCAATTAAGACTTCACCCAATAAATTGATTTCTAGTTTTGAATGAATTTTCCCTACATAGATATTTCACTAAGTTGTTGCCGGATCTCAAGCCCTAGATGAGACAAGTTGAAAGTTATGTTAGATAGTCAACAATTAATGTAAAACTTACCTAACAACTATGACATGAATCATTTAATATATTGAATTAATGTTTGGACATTCCCTAGAGGCAAGACATTGTATGGCTTAATTACAACAATAAGTGTGTAAGTGTCACTACACCGACAACAGATGCAGTGTTAAATAACCAAGGGTTTCCCCATTATGGATGGATGTGAGCAAAGAAGCTAGTCAATGAAATTAAAATTATGATAGATACTTGGAATACTGGTACTCTTACGGACAAATTAATAAATTTAATAGATATTATGATTCAGAAGAAAATAAATATTATAAGAACTTATAGAAGCATTAGTTAACACAATGGAGAAAAAGATTCATGTAGCCAACCCTACATTAGTGGGAAAAAGGCTCGATTTTATTGTGTATATATATGTGTGTGTAAAGGGCATCTCATTGATTTGATTTACAGTTTGGAAATGATATGTGCTTTTCTTGGCATCTATCTTTTAATTTAATGATATTTAATGTTAACATATATTTTTTATATTTATTTTATATTTTGCACAGAAGACAAATTTTAACCAATCCAGGTTTCACAGAAGACATTTTCTCCAGATTAAATAAACAGTTGGATAAACAGTTAAATCTGATCGCATCCAGCCTGTGTAGTCCCACCAGATAATCTTCCCTCACCTCTTGTACGTCCCTAACTATGGTCTTAAGTGATGTGATGGCTTTGGATAGCCCTGCATCTCCCCTTATGATCACCATTCTCCCATCCACCATTAATTCCATCGTGAGTGCTCCGGGCCGATCGATCTCCGCAGAAGGCGGAGATCTGTCGCTCTTTGCGACTTGCCGGTCCTGTGCGGACCGGCTGGACCGGTCCAGTGGACCGGTCTAACAGATTCACATAAGTTTATGTAATTCAAACATAGATTAGTCGGAAGTACATTATTTATCTCTCCACCAAAATAAAACTTCCTTTGAAGTTAATTTTAATTTCCTAATCTACTTCAAATTTAATCTTTCATAACGGTGAGTAAATGTAGCTTCAAAAGCGAGTGCAGTTACAGATTTTCCTGAATTTGACAGAATAATTTCCGGCTGGTCTTCTTCTCAATTAGACATTATAGGGGTATTAGTGATAATTTACGTCAGTTCATCTGAAAAAAGCTTTTTCAACAAAGTTAAATTCCATCTACCATTGGTGTCCAGAAGAAAATTCACATTTTTTGTTTTGAAGATCAGCAACATTACTCATAGTTGGCCACTTATTTAAGCATCCATCAAGTATCCAAATATCATTTAAGATATTAATACTTATCCCTTTGTTGACTTACCACCTTATGATTGGTTTTAAATAACGATAATACGTCAAGATGGAGAAGAGCTTCTTTTACTTCCTTCTTCCCAGAAATCTTTTCCATATTTTGCCACAATCATTTTGATGAGAAAAGAATTATGATTTTGAATGATATTCCAAGCAATACGAGCTCTTAACAGACCCGCCGCACCTTGAATTCCATGACCTCTTTGATTAATAGCAGTACTTAGAGTTTTCCAAGAAATGTAATGCATACCCTTTTTTCCATGTTCCTTGTGCCATAAAAAACTCCTATAATATCTGTCAATATCATCTAGGATACCCTTTGGAATCAAAAAATGTGTCATGATATAAGAGGGAATTGAAGAAAAAGCATATTTAATCAATACAATTTTCCCTTCTAATGAAAGAGATCGAGCTCCCCAAGAATTATGCCTCTCCATTGTCTTATCGAGAACATTTTTATAATCCGCAATTTTCAACCTTCTAAGAGTCATCTTAACTCCTAGATGAGTAAATTAATCAACCACACGATACCTCAAAATTTTACTAATTCTTCTTTTCCTTTTTCTCAACATATATTTTCCAAACAGCACCATGGATTTGCTATTGTTTGTTTTTTGGCATGTACAACCACAATACTCAAGAAATCCATTTATTAACTTGGCATTACACCGAGTGGCATTCGCAACAATAATGGCATCATCAGCATATATAGGAGTGTCAATATTTGACCTGACCCGAATCCGACCCAAAAATTTCGGGTTCGAGTCAACCCGAACCCGAACCGGGTCAGGTTCGGGTTAGAGATTTCAACCCGTTTGTAAAACCGGGTCGGGTTCGGGTTGACCCGGAAATCCGAAATCAACCCGATTTGACCCGTTTTTAATTAATTTAGGAGAGTTTTAAAGGATTTTTATAAAATAAGTAAATGATATTTAAAAAAAATATAAACATTGTTAACCAAATTAAATTAATCTTGATTTATTTTAAATTAATTGAAGTAAATCTTACCTTAATTTGATTTAGATTTAAATAAATTGAATTAAATAAAAAAATTTAATAAAATATACCCGAAGCGGGTCAGGTTCTGGTTGACTCAAACCCGTTTCGGGTCGGGTTTGGGTTCGGAAAACCGACCTATTTGCAAAAACGGGTCGGGTTAATTCTGGGTTGGACCCGAACCTGACCCATGACCCGATTTTGACAGCCCGAAGCATATATAAGATGAGATACCTTATCAATATTAGGAGCAATCCGAATACTAAGGTTTTGGTCTTTTTTCAAGAATTAATTTAGACAATAATTCAAAACAAGGAGACAATGGATAACCTTGTCTAAAGCCACTTTCAGCTTTAATCCATTCGTTTTTGCTTCCATTGATAATGGTAGAGAATTTAGGAAAGTTAATGCATTGGATAATATGATTAATCATCCTCTCAACAACATATAATATTTGATTCAATGTTTCCCATCTCAGTGAAGCCAATAACATATAATATTTGATTCAATGTTTCCCAACTCACGTTATCATAAGCTTGTTCCATGTCAAGCTTTACTAGCTTGAAACCCAATTTTGCTTTTGAGTATCTAAACTTATTTAAGATCTCATGAGCCACAAGACAATTATGCAAAATAAATCTTCCAGGTACAAAAGTTCCTTGTTGTTCTAATATAATGAAAGGAAGGCAATTTTTCACTCTGTTTAATATCATTCCAGCAACCACTTGGTAAATTGTTTAACATAAACTAATGGGTATGAACTTTGTTACATAGTACCCGAATTAAAGAAGTTTTCAATAGCATTCCACACTTCCATATTAACAATACTCTAGAAAGATTTAAAACAGCAAGTTTTAACACCATCATTACCATCCTTGTCCATCTTTATAATAGTAGAAAGAAGCTCTTCTTTTTTAAAATCGGTTGAAAGCATCACCTTCGTTTCTTCATTTAACTTTTTTCTGTTGCTGGAAGATTAGGCCAATTCCTTAGATTAATAGATCTATTCCTACATTTATGTTAAAAAAACTAAGTAAAAGCAACCTGAATTTCTTCTTGATCCGAAATAATATCTCCATTATCAGTAGAAATTTGGTTTATCATATTCACATTCCTTGTTGTTGTAGCAAACACATGAAAATACCTTGAATTATGGTCACCATCTTCCAACCATTGAATCTTAGCCTATTTTAGCTCATAAAGAGTCAATATCTTATCAAGTTTATTGTTATGTTCAATCTTATTAGAAGAGTTCACATTAGTAAGGATGTGACATGTATCATTTAGCTGATGATTTTGTTTCCAAATTATACCACAGTTAAATGATAATGATTGAGATCCTCTTATGTAAAATGATACCATTAAATTACGATAATGATCAAAGCTTACAAGTTCCCTAATGGCTTAAAATCTCTTAAGCTATGAACAGTAGGTACACTTGATAGGGCATAAAATCCTTTATTAGCTAAATGCAACTTTTGTGTCCCTTTAGATAAATATCCACCTATGTCTGCAAAGCTCACTTAGATGAGGGAACTCATAACTTTCGATAAGGATCTTTCGGTCAGGTTGAGTCGACTACCTTTGTTGACTAAGTAGATCATAGACCATGACAACCCCACGAAATAGATCTAGGGGATATTCATTGAGTTCGTCATGGTACTCCCATAATCTCCTTATAGCTATAAGGATGCTAAATTTCTTAATTAAATAAAATGTTGCTATTATATAATAAGCATTTAGCTTCTAAAAATTAATCTTAATTGAATGTTCTCTTTTATTATTGTGAGGTGTAATTAATCATAGGGGTTTACATATGAGATATTTTGAATCAGATCATAATATTCTTGTAAAGAGAGTAAAATATCTGGATAGTATTTTATATGTAACATAATTTTCCTTTTGAAAAGTTGACTCAGAAAACCAAAATTCTCTCAACATAGCTGGGGCATTGCCCACAAATTTTCTAAGCTTATTTTTAAAATCATCCTATGTCAGGAAGGGTAAGAAATGTGTGGGAGACATCCCCAACCCATGCTTTGACTTATAGGCCGGGCACCACAATTGCTTAATTGGGATTTGTATCTCTTTTATATCTTAAACTATATTATCTGGTCCCTATTTTGTCTTCTCTTATTGAAATAATTTCCCATCTTTTATTTAAAAACGTTTTTGTTTTCTTTTTGTGTGCAGAGAGAATGAGTGTTCGCAGGCTTTTCTGGTTCTCTTCCTTTATGATTATGGCATCAAGGGAGGGCTATCTGTTTGTACGGGAAGTTAATGAAGCAGCAAGTTTTGTTGTGATGCCGAAGTTATTCCTTGCATATTCTTTTTCTTTTGTAATATGTCAATATTTCCAATGCCTAGTGGGCTTCTTCCCTACAGTTTTCTTTTTTTCTTTTCAATTGTTATTCTTCTATTTTATTAGACATGCTTAATTTAAAATGTTTCATACCAAAACAAAGAACCCATTGTGAAACTAAACATGGCAAGGAACTACTTCATATTGTCTTGGAATATGAATTCAAATGGATTACTGATATAATTCTATGATCCTCAGCCTCTAAAGATGGTCTGTTCTTCAGAGCAATGTATGAAATACTTTTCTAGATTTGTTTTCATTATTAATCTTTAGCTTAGGCATTAAGTGGTGTATTCCTATGAATAGAAGGAAATGCAATTCTATCATGCTTTATAAATAGCTTGATATTTATTCACAAAATGTTTACTTAGGCTTTGTTTAGGACAATTTTTTTATTATTTTCAAAAATAATTTTTTAATTCAAGAAATTTGTATTCAAAAATTATTTTAGAAAGTAGCAATAAAGCTATCCCAAACGAAGCCTTAGTTTTTCTCAAGCAGCTGTTAATTGAAGAATGAGATGTAGGTTTCGTTTGGAATAACTTTTTACTACTGTTTTTAAATGATTTTAAGATATTTGTATACTGAAAATTTGTTTTAGAAAATAATAAAAAAATATCTCAAATGAAGTCAAAAGTCACCATCTTTTTAAATTTGCTTTTTATTTAAAGATGTCAAATGATCCTAAGTTGACTTGAGTTGAGATCTATTCTGACCAACTGGCTAAGGAAATGTATTAATTATTATCTCAAATATTGATTTAAGATTATTATTCATGTGATTGAGGTTTAATTTGGGATGAATTTTTTATTATTTCTTAAAACAGCATTCTAGTACAAAAATTTGTCTCAAAATTGAGAAGAATACTTCATTTGGTTTAATTTATTAATTTAAAAGATGTTTTAGAAAGTAGTAAGAAAGTAGCGTTACTTTTGTGGAGAATTTTTAAATTTTGATGACAAACAAATTAGGATAGATTTAAAAATATTTGAATTTGTGTTGAGATTAATATTGTATATGATATTTTAATTAATTTTTGTATAGATTTAAATATTTTAAATATATTTTAATTTAAGTTGCATCCAAATAATCTGTAAATTTGTTTTTCATTTTATAAATAGAAAAAAACTGTTAGATGATAACTAAAGATTTTGATATTAGGGATTTTGCTCCATTAGATAACAAGTTAGAATGGATAAATAATGATTTTATTTTTAAATTATTTCATTTTTTTATTTTTCATTCAAGCTTAGGATTAGCATAGGCAGTTTTAAAAATTTGCTTGAATTTTTTATTTGAATCATATGGTTAAAATTGACTTAAACGGGAGCTGGCTCCACTCGATGCTCTTTGTCAGACCCTGGTGACAACTGAACTGACTGACTTTAGACTGGCACACTCAACTGTACTGCTGGGGGAGACATCGGAACTGCCCTCTGAACTCTGTCAACTCTAACAGGCTCTGGGACTAGTGATTGTGGTACTGTTGACTCATCTCTGGATGTGGTGGGAGTAGCCACCAACGCTGTCAACTGGGCGGTCATCGCCGCCATGGCTCTAGCCATCTCTGTTATCTGAGTCTGCAACTGTAAAACTGTAGCATCCGTATCCACTGATCGGGGAGGTCCACCCTGTGCTGATGTGGAAGGTACATCGGCCTCCCCTTGCTCCTTCAAATCATCGTACTGCTCCCGTTGATCATCTAACGTGCCTCATCTCATGACAACACAAACACGGTGAACGGGGATGTCTTCATCTGACTCCTCTCCTAGCAAGTCCTCATCGGAGAGGGTCTGACAAAGAGCATTAATGTGACCCAAAGGAGAAGAAATTCTATGGGGACTAGAAACGGGAGCTGGCTCCACTCGAGCCGGGACACTATCCTCAACATCTACTGCATCATGTCTCATCTGAACTGGTACTGATCCTGAAGGGGTTGTATCAACTTGACGGATCGTCCCAACGGTCTACTCTGTCTCGACAGATTGATCCACCTGCCGACGCCTCCAAACCCATCTGCTGCGACGAGACCCGGTAGGAACATCTAACTGAGTGGAGGGGGTAACAACAACTGAACCAAGCTGAGGCCGAACAGGCTCCAACTGTGGGTGACATCCATGACGGCAGGGGCGTCGTCCAACAGTAGGAACACCTGCCTGGGGTCTAACAATGGGAACTACTTTAGTCTGTTATCGTGGTGGCTGTCCTCTCTTGCACCGGTAACTCTGTCTAACTGACTGCCACAACAACTGGGCGTGTACCTGAGAGATCTGGTGGAGTAACCTCTCCTCGCTAACACGACCCCTATCGCGCTGAAGGGATAATGCCTCGGATCCTCTGAGTGATGGTCCTAGCGACAGTATCCCTAGGGACTCGAGCGCGAGGAAGAGTAGTAGGGACAGGAAAGGCCGCCGCAATACGAACAGCGTCCTCCCTGGACTGTGTCGATCTCAGGAGCGACGACAACATCAGAAACTGGGGTAACTACACGTCTACATGGCTCCCGCTGTAAGGGAACCATCCTCTGCTGAACCGGCTCCTGCTGAGCCACAGAATCTGTCATCCGTTGAACTGCTGCATTGGATACCGCTAAGTGCAATTTCCTGTTCCTATTCCTCCTAGCCCTTCTCCTAAGGCTGGAGGTGGAGGAAGACACTATGTCCGTACTAACTGGCTGGACAAGAGGAACAAAAACTACTGAAGGGAATGTCGGGGTCTCCTCAGCTATCTCAGGGTGAGACAACCGGGTGAAAATAGAAACTCGATGAGTAGGGGGTGGAAGAAGCTTGGCCTGAGCAACCCTCTTCCTCGAAGAGGAAGGAGGAGGGGAGACTCGAACATGAGCAGCCTCTATCGGGACAACAGGAAGAGGAACTGCTGGCTGCCAGCGCTGAGGGGCTGGGGCCATATGAACAACTGGAGCAATAGTCGTTGGCCGCCTGACTGCTGGACGAACTGGGTGAACGGGGAGTGGTCTAGGCACTGGCTGCCTAGCCACCGAGCGCACTAGCTGCGAACGAACAGCAACGGGACGAATAGGTGCCTGAGCTGGCTACCGAACAACTGGTCGTCCAAAAGGTCGCATGGCTGCACACTCTCTCCTCTATGGGGGAGAGAAGGCAGCATCCTCAGAGGGGGTCGGCCCGCCCAGAGTGACGTACGCCGAGTCGGTAAAGGATCCGAAAGTGATCCCCCCACAGGTGGGCTCGACAACAGGGATTCAAGGAGTGTCATCCGTGAGTCAGAGCCAAAGCAAAAAGTAACTGAAGGATCAGAGTACGCCATTTGTACTGTATGCTAACACAAACTGTAATAATTAGCATAAAATAAAACCACGAGAGGAAAGAGAGAGAAAGGGATGGAATAGCCCAGAAAGGTTAGAAAGGAAAGAACTTAACTAAGGAGCACTAAACCCTGAGTACACACCAAAGAGGATAATATAACATCTGAAGATGGAGAGAGAAACCTGTCCCACCGTGGCCGCCAGAAATCTATGGGTCTCCAAAAGGATTCTGCTTATGGGGTTTGAATGCAAAGGATACGACCACACTATCCCGTAAGATTAAATGAACGTAGGCCTTTATACTCGACATAAGCAGGCCGATGGAAGAGCATATCGAGTTATATATACGATTAGCCATGGAAGATAACATTTTTTGCCTGTAGACTTTGATGGATAATAATATATATAACCCAAAATTTCACGAGATTTCCCCCATTCGATACATCAGCTCGAATGGGGTTTATTTGATTGTGGGGATCAATTTCCTACGGGCACAAGCCCTCGTAATTAATTACATCTTAGACCTCAATCTAAGAAAACTCTCGATTAGGGATGTTATATTATTCTCTCGAAATGGGTTTAGCGCGAAGGAATTTCTAAGCTTTCCTAATCAAAGGGGGAGATAGGCTCAATTTGGTTTAATCAGTCACACATGATTCAGTCATCATTTGGCCGGTTCGAGGAAGAGAAAACTAGAGAAAAAGAGAAAAGTCACTGCATTCAAGCATGCATGAGAGAAAGAGAGAAGTTGCATGATTTGTGTGATGCGGATGGGTAGGATTTATAGCTTCCAGAAGAATGGAGAGCTAACCCACCAATAAGGCGTACAGCAGTACACTCGTACCACGAGCCTTAGATCCTAAATCTATAAATGATGTAGTATCGTACACATGACACTAACATCTACAACCTAACTAATACAATCTTAGACATATTCCTTGCCTGAAAGAGGAAGCCAGCTAAAACCACCTAATCATATAAAATCCATGATATTCGATCCGTATGCAAGATAAGTGGGTAGTTAGACATTGGAATTTGGGATTGACATTTAGAGAAGTTCCTAAGTGATCCCACCCTTATGAATGGTATAATGCTCCTAAAACTAATGCAATTAAATTTTAATTTTAGTTGGTTACTAATACAGTTTATGCTAGTCAAAGTCTCCAAATCAGGGATGTATGAAATTTTAAAAAGGCTTATAAAAATAATTTTTTTTAAAAAAGACTAAGCTTCCCCCGGTTCGACATTTCATCCTCATATGCCAGATTATCCAGACTTTACCCATAAGCGGGAAGTATCTAAAGAAGAGAGAGAATGCATGCATGCGACCCCGAATGATTCTGGCTATTCTCTAAATCGTTATGTTTCTATGTGAGTTAATTCTTAAAATTTTATTAGTAATTATGAGTAGAAAAATTTTATTCCTAGAAGAGCCTAGCGAGTAAGGCACATGCACATGTAAGAAAGAAACCTATAAAAAGCATGCCAGTTTTATTACGCAAATAAAGTAAATAAACCACAACGAAACAAAAAAAAACTACGAAAAAGCGTGTCCATGGCAAGTGTCATATAATATTACATCACTGTGTACAGAAAAAGTAGTGGTGGCTGAGCTCCACCGACAATAATCCAGGAACGACACAAATCTTAAAACAAGGCATTTTATATCTTGCTCTTCATCTTCCCTTCCTTGATTCGTCTATGGATCATCTTCAGTCCTTCGGGCTCCTCATAATGAATCCTTCAAAAGGATGTCCAAATGAAAAAGGAAACTCCCTATAGGGGGTTTTCTTTTCCCTTTTGACCCCTTTACATCTAAAATGCCTTGTTTTAAGGATTTTCACAACACTTGACTTCAAATACATTACATCAGAAAAGAAAAAAAAAGGAAATCTAGACTCCCCTGCAAGGTTATCCTAAGCA